TGGTCAGCTCCTCCACTGTTTGGCAGGGTGCAGGAGTGTTGAAAGTTTGCAGCTGAGAGGCAGAAAACAAAATAATATTATGATGACTGATAAACCAAGGGAATAATGTAGTAGTGCACCAGCAAATATAGTTTAAAGACTTTAACTACAACATTACAAAGATTCTGAGATGCCATACAGTGCTGTGAAGTATTTGCCCCCTTTCTATTTTTTACTTCTTTGCATATTTGCAAAGAAGATTTTACCTGTTTTAGATCAAACAAATATTATTATAGAAAGAACCCTTTAAATTATGATTTTTTTAAAAAAAAATAAAAAAAATAACAGAACAAAGCTATTTAAACATACCTGGACATACCTGAAAAGTAATTGCCCCTTAAACCTAATAACTAGTTGCGCCACACTTAGCAGCAAGAACTGCAAGTGTTTGTGTTAAGTGACAATGAGTGTCTCGGCTGCTGTGCAGCAGTGATTCTTAAAGTGTGGGCCAGGGCCCCCTGGTGGGCCACAGTAATAACAGAAATTCAGTGTGAAATTACTCACTCAAGTATGTACAGTAACATGTTTATATAAATGTATTTATTTATATAAAAAGGTGATTTAAAACTGGTAACAGAACATTACTCTGACCTAAATTTATTATTATTGAAGTTTGTGCTGCAGTGGCAAGTGGGTCAAACGTTGGCCTTCATACTTTCCATATATGACTGGGTAGCATTAGCAATTTATAGCCACTTTTTTTTTTTTTTTTTATAAAATTTTCATGGAAATTGAGCACTGTTTCATATTTTGTAAAGAGTACAGATTTAATGATGGCAGGCCCCTCTGGAATCTTTCATTTTTAAATGGGCCGCAGCACTCTTAACTTTGGGAACAGCTGCTGTGGAGGAATTTTGGCCTAATGTTCTTTGCAGAATTGTTTGAATTCAGCCACAAACTAATTGTCGGAGCAGAATTTATGTCACCATCAAGTTGTCCAGGTCCTGAAGCAACAAAGCAACCATCACACTACCACCACCACGTTTGACTGTCGACTTGATGTACTGTTTTTGAAATGGTATGATAGTTTTATGCCAGATGTAATGGGATGCAAACATTTGAAAAGGCTCAATGTGTCTTGTCACTCCACAGTATATTTCTCCAAAAGTCTTGGACATGTGAGACAAGCCTTTGTTTCCTTTTTGGTCAGCAGTGGTTTTCTCCTTGGAACCTCCATGGATGGCATTTTTGCTCAATTTCCTTCTTAATTGCAAAGATCAGCCTTGACTGATGCAAGGGAAACATGCAGTCCTCCAGGTTCCTGGTTCTTTTGTGACCTTCATGATGAGTCATTAATGGATTATTGATGATAATTTTGGTAGGCTTACCACTGTTCACTACTGTTCCAAGTTGTCTCCATTTGTGATTAATGGGTCTCACTGTGGTTCGCTGCTACCTTTTGAGACCTTTTAGCCTGTTTCACCTTGTCAGACAGGTTCTAAGTGCTTTTGTGATTTAACAGTGAAATTAAACTCAGGCTTCCAAAAAAAATTGGTTAATCACAGTTAATTATGATTTAAAAGGAAGGGGGGAGGATTTCTTTTTCAACATAGATAAGCCAAGTAGGTTTGAAAACTTTTTTCCCTTAAATGAAATCATCATTTAAAACTGCATCTTTGTTTTTACTGGGCTTATCATTGTCTAATATTAAAATGTGATGATCTGAAACATCATGGGACAAAAAAAACAAACAACCAAAAAATAAATAAATAAATAAATCAGAAGGGTGGCAAATAGTTTTCACTGCACTGTAGTTGTTTCAAAACCCCTACAGAGAATAAGGAAAGATGAGAGGACAGAATAAGACACATCATCACTTTGCACCGTTTCATTTGTGTTCTTCTTTAGTCTTGTTTGTCTCATTTATAGCAGTGTTTTTTACTTTTCTACATTTGCAAAATGTTTCCAAAGTCAAACCACTGAGTTAAAAAAAAAAACCTCAATATTGACTAAAACAATTCCAAGTATAACGTTTCCCATAATCGAGCAGCACTAGGACATAGAAGAAATGATAAATGTTTAGGGCAGGATGTACAGGGACACACAGGACAACAGTGGCAAAGAAACCACCGCAGACCCAAGTAAAGAAAAAGGCTTTCTTGCTTACATGATGATGTAAATAATTCAAGCAGCAGCCACGGTGTACGGTTAATTCTCACAGTCTAATATCAATATCCTTCCGCAAGAACAGTGCAGCTATAGCCACGATAAAATTTAAAGACCACCAAGCACGGTTTTGAAGAGTTTATAGGAAGTTTTACTCCCTTCATGGGACACCTTTACACATTTTCTTGTTTTTGGCATTGGGTAAGTTGACCCGTTACTTAGTGACACTGCTGTTCAAAGTTACGGGTTCAACAAAGTGGCTTACTGACAGACACAGCAATCGTGGATCCTGGACGAGATCTCATTAACTCAGCGCTTATCCTATTACTAACCACAAGACAGGCAGCAAAACTGTTTGCTCTCTGTGAGCGCAAAGTGCCTTATTACTTGCTGCTGTTTGCTACATTTAAGCAGTTACATAACATTAGCAAAAATCCAAACCGCGACATTCCGCAAATACCCCCTTGGTTAATTGGATTAGCAGCCCGAGTCTTGCCAAGCCACATGAACTAGAGGATTGTTATCTTTGCACCTGCTAGGTGTTAACTTTACATTCAGCAGACTGCAGGACCCCCCGCCCCCAGCTACATTTCCTACCTATGGGGTCACAGAGACGAACAACAGCTGCACAAGAAGCTAATCTCTCTAATAACGACCTTATTCTGCCATTACACCGTCCGAACAAATTGTCAGATTTCCTTCATTTTCTCTCTAGTTTCTTTCGTTCACACCCCCACCAGCTACGAACAGGTGACTTAAATCCCTTCCGCGGTTTCGGCGACACATTCACAAATAGACTCACCCATATTATGAGGCTTTCGACCAGCTCCGTCTTGTTTTTGTCCATTTGTTGCCTTTTAGCTTAAAGCTAAAATATTTCTTCCTCCACCTGTCGGCAAAAAAGCTCTTCCGCTCTGTCCCTCAGCATTTGACCTCACCTGCTGCCAAAGGTGGCTATCTAACGTCAGATACGTATTTTGAAGACGAGTGAAGACCTGTCTGACTTAAGTTTGCGTAAGATGTACGCGAATAGCGTAGCTTCTTCTTCTTGCTTACAGGTTGGGTTGTTGCGAAGTGAGAGGGTATCTAAGCAGAAACCAATCGGTATTAAGATCGGGGATGATTGACGGCTGTGACTCCACACTCTGGCCAATCAGACAGCTTGATTTGAAATTCCTGTACGCCTCACTTATCTGCACAAAATAAACACATTTTTTGTCCGCTCAGTCGTTTTCTTTGCCCACCGATATTAGGGAACAGGGAAACAAAAAGTTATTAGAAGAAAATGGAGCGTGGCTAATTTAGTATTATTTATTGTGTTCTATAAAGGTTACAGTATCCATTTCCCCCAAATGAGGTCGTCATTTCACCTGCAGTTAACAGTTAAGTAGTAAAAACCCTGCTCGAGGCTACAGCATCGTGACTAAAGTCTTTATACACTGATATGATAACTTAAGGAGAAACCAGACAGTATCGAATTCCCAAAAAAACAATCAGATTTGCAGGCAAAGGTAAATATTTCAAACTATTTGCTGCTTGAAACAAGCCACAACCAAAACCATGTAAAAAGTGATACTGAGCAAGAGATAGTGGCCCAAACATAAATGTGGCTCAAGCTTGCTCAGCCAACATCTATTCACTGCAGTTTATATCATGTTTGGCTTCTCTGCTTTAAAATATTTTATTATCACACCCAACAAATTAAAAATCCTGCACAGCAAATTTTCTTAGCAGAGCTTTAAGATAAATACCGTTGGAATGATAATCCCTAGGACACGTTTTATTGGCTATACAAGTATTTTCTGTAATCTGCACTGTTCCCAGAGAGCCATTAAAACCCTGGCAGCATGTCAGCTACTCTCTGCGAGTAAATCATTTCCCATGAAGGCAATAAATTTCTCAAGTTACCCATTTATTTTATGCCTCACATGAGGTTGTGTCTAGTTGATATGAAATCTTCTCTGTGTCACATGCTTTCCCAAGCCACACCATGGAAAATTACAAACAAATCTTAAAGAGCACCTATTATAAAGGGATTGTTACATCACTCAGCAAACAACCTAATGATCACAAATCAAAGCTAAAATTTGACACACTCATAAAATAGTACGTGCTTGAACTGACTCTGGACTTTACCCATTAAACTCTCTTTGGATGAGGACCTCATTTATCTCCTGATTTCTGCCACTCAGACCTTGACCCTATAGTGGCTATTTTTAGAGGATTTGATCCACATGAACTTCCCTTTTTTAGCGTTTAAGGTATGGTGAAGTGCCAGGGCAAATATTTGACAAGATATTTCTGCAATAGCTGCCTTGGAAAAGTACGTGATGGCTGTCACAACATTTGGCACTACCAGACAGGTTGCTTTGCCACAAATATTTGCCACAGTAAGTCAATGCTATGTTCATGTAGTACTCTGTTTTTAATGGTTTTACTATCCACCGATTTAGACATTTCTTACTTTCACATTGCAACTTGGATTTGGATCAAAGGATCAGTTGAAGTACCCTTGGTGTAGTAATATAAAAAAGCATTGCATGGACAAGGTTTTGGCTAAGTAAACTCTGGGTAAATTATTGGCAAGTTCAAATATAACCTACTTAAACAAAGCGTAGGAGGAATCTTTTCTGGCTTTGATCTGGTCATGCGACCCAAACCGGTTACCTCTGGCCAGACTGAAGGAACAAATATGTTGATTTTTTTTCTCGTTTTTTTGTATTTATTTTGAGACTAAAGGTTGACAGCTGCCTATTTTAAAGGGAAGTAAGTGAGTTTTGTACAAAGCACCAATGTATTGATCTGACAATGCTGTCCCCTTTAAGTAGAAAGACTCACAGGCCAGCTGATATTGGAAAATGTAGTTGATCATTAACAGGGAGCTTCAATTTATTTTGTTCAGTGATGCTGTTGGGCAGCACTTCACTTCCTTCTAGAAGACACTGATTATCTATCTGCCTAACCTCTATACACCCGTGCAACAGATTTAAGTCCAGGTGAGTCTTTTTTTCCAATGTTTTCTGTAATAGAAATATGATTTTGTGCTTTACCAAATTGTTAGAGAAGGTTTGGGGGAATTTGTTGAGTGTGTTTCTTACAGATTTCTTGATTTGTATGAAAGACCAGACCTAATGTTAAGCCCATTAGGTGATCTAAGCCATAAATTGATACTGAAGTTATTTGACAAATGAAATCTGTTATAAACCTGCAGCCTTCTTTGATTTGAGCATATTGTTATTAACAGTTTCATCTTTCCATCTGAAAAAAATATTTCACCTGTTAGTGCAGGCTAAGATTTACAAACCATTTAAATTAGCAGTCTGAACGCTGAAGTCGGAGCATCAGTAGCCGTAATCCGCAAACAGAGAAGAGCTGAGCTTCTGTTCTCTTTATCTCACACATCAATAATTAAATCATTATTTAGATAAACTAGCATTACAGGTGTGTTTATCTATGTTGCTATGTCATGTCATGTTTCAGATCAGACTGAAGTTCCACTGAGTCAGGGTCGCCTGTAGGATAATCCACGTATTTGCTGTGCACACCTGATCAGTCAACATCAATGTATATGAGCTGCCTAAAGGTGAGTGGTTCACACAAACGCATACACTCACAGTAAAGCTCATGTCATGCAGGGGCTTATTATATTTCCTTGTTTTCAGTGGGGGTTACACTTCTCTTTGTCCCTATCTCTGAAGCACTTGGGTGAATCTCATGCTTTAACTTAAAGAGTTACATTAAAACAGTTTCTCCTACACGGAAACTGGGAAAACATTATTTATAAGACACTTCCTGGGTTATAAAAAAGGTAATTTATTGCTTTTATTGGGGGCACAGTCTGGTGGAGGAAGTTGTCACTGCTTGCATGACTCAAATCAAAAGTTTTCTGTTGTGTTGTGTTCTGTGTTTCACCGTTACATCGGTATAAGCTTTTCAAAGATTATTTCACTTGAAATCCATGAACACCAGGAATAGGAATAGAAAACGCTTATCGATTCTTCTGTCATTGTCCTTTTTTTTTCTTCCTACTTTTCACTTATGTCTTCTCTTCTATGTCTCCTCGTCTCTCCTGTTTTTAGGAATCCATGCAGGCATGTCAGTCTTCGAATAGACGAGACTGGCACTGCCCAGTCTGCCTGCAGACGGCCAGATTCCCAGTCCAGACGAACTGCGGCCATTTGTTCTGCGGTACGAGATCCTGCACACATTTACACAAACTGACCAAAATCTTCTCAGACTCTAATTATTTTATGCACACACCCATTCGGTCAATCATCTGTGATTAGGGCTCACACTTCGTGTCTTAGTTTATGCGATTTATTCACTGATCAGTGTAGAAGTAGTGTGCTGTAGCTGTTTCAGGCCCATCTGTTTGGCCCATCTGTTTGGCTTTTAATAATTAACGTTTGCCACGGTCCACCCATTACACTTGTAGATAGAGCAGCAAACGACCAAACACAGTAAGGTATGTGTTCACAGATGATGCGAGATGGAGGTTTTATGCCTGCTACTAGGAAAGCAAAATCCTCAACATCATTAACCCAAATTCATAATCTACACTTGGAGCATTAAGGAGAGTTGCGCTATGAGTTGACTTGAGAGGTATATAATACATAGAATAAAAAAACAGAGCTCATATCCATATATTAGGCTAACCATGTAAAAATGTTCAGGTCTTTACAAATCTGCTTTTGAGAAGGGCTCTTGTAATTTTTGCTACAGGGTCATTCTACCTTAGATTTGCCTGAAAAAAAGAATCCAGGAGAAAGGTTGACTTCTCAATGGGGAATACATTTCAGGTTCTGTCATTTAGGGATTGTCTTTTTTAAATAACTTGAGCTAGATCCTTCAGTTTTCTGGTGTAAATATCTGGTAACATGGCACTATGAATATAGAGTCTCAAGAGTGGATAGCATATAATGACTGTTGTTGAAATCCCTGAAATATTATGTCCAATCTCTACCAGCAGATTTGGAGACCTAAAGACACCACATTTTTGCAGGTAGAGGACTGATATTTTGTTCACAGCTTCTCATATTCAAGGCGCATAATATTCTTTGAAGAATATCCAAAACTTGGGATGGTGATCTCTCATGTTTCCAATATGAATTTTAAAAAATATCTCATATTTATATGTGGCAGCCAAAGATTGCTTAAGAATAACAACAAAAGCCAGTTTATGCAGAGTTATGACCCAGAACCATGACTGTGCATAAACTTATTGCTTTAAAAAAAACAAAAAAAACCTAAACAGTAGAACTGAGAACCTGAAATTCTGGATAATTCTGCAAATTCCTATTAGGAAGTGTTTCTCCTGGAATTTCTTCGGGCATATCTGAGATGGTCAATTAGATGTTCATATCTGTAGCTTTTGAGTAACATTTATGGCATGAATGCACTCATCCAACCTTGATACTATCTATTATAGATTAAATGACGAGTTAAATAAATAGTTGTGTTTGATTCTGCAGCTCCCTGTCTTATCACCTATTGGAGGCATGGGTCATGGTTAGATGCAATCAGTTGTCCTCTTTGCAGACAGAAGGTGCGTTATTCTCCTAGTTCCTTTACTGTACATCATAAATGTGTTACGAGCGTGGACGTGAAATAAAAATGCTTGCAATCTTGCAGGTCAGCGTGCTCTGCCACCTGTTCAGCGAGACCCGATCAGACCAGCAGTCAAAAGAAGTTCTCGATGAAATCACAGCCTACAACAAACGTTATTCTGGAGCTCCACGCAGGGTCAGTACTCTGTTAAAACATCAGTAACAATATTGTACTGCTACTCCCCAACAGCAAACTCACCCATCAAAGAGCCAAGAATACTTTTATTATTATTATTATTCTAAGATATCATAAGCCGTGGTATCTATCAGGGCATCTGAAAGGGAAGAAAAGAATTCTTTCATTATTTCCTCGAAGAGTTAGAAAAGGGAATACCTCTTATGCAACCTAGCAGTTATTGTCCTGTTTAACCAACAGTGATAGACAAAGGAGGTATGAGCTCAACAGCTCACAATGACACACCTAGAAGCCACGTGATCTTCTTTGTGTTTTTTTTCTTTGAAAACATATCCTGTAGCGTTCATGCTTAAGAACTGGAACTACTTTTGACTATACATTTAGAATAATTTATTTCTTGCTTTTAAGAGAGACACAAATATAATAAATGCAGCATCAGGAAATCAGCAGAATACCCCTGACCCATGTCGAAGTGCTCAGTCAAAAATCTTGTGGATCATTTTTGATTGCGCCAACTTGAAATGTTTGGTATCTGGTTGTCTGATGTCCTCCTGCATACTCACCCCTCCAGGTAACGGACTACCTCTGTGACACACCCCTGCTTCTGCAGTTACTGGTTCGTGGCCTGGGCACCATGGGAGGACTCGTGTGGCTGTTTCTGTTCAGGGTTGCCCTGTGCTGCGTGGGGACCGTGATGTCCATCTCCTCCCCTGCTCTGGATGCAGTGTCTTCATCGAGTACCCTAGAAACAGACCCCTCTCTCTGTGGACTGCTAGGTCTCCTGGACGACCTGGTGGTGGTCATCCTGCTCCTTATCTGTGTTATCAATATCAACCAGCAAATAACACCAGAGAGAGGACAACCTGGAAATGCTACAACCTCACAGGGAGTGATGGGAGATTCACTTTAGAGAGCATGAGCAGCTGGAGCGTGGCAGCACAAGCTGTTAGACATGGACTTTTATTGAATTTCTTCCCTCTGGCTGGATTAGTGGTTAGAAGAATATTGACAACTGCACAGCATGCAACAGTCAAGGTGTTAGAGGTTGTCTGAGCCTCCCTAAATGTAGATTCAGATTCCAGGTGTTTTTGTGAACTGTTTACAGAGTTCATGCTAAACTAACTAAAAATATGATGTTATGCAATTTGTAGGTTCAGATGTGGTTACAAATCCTTAACCTTTCTTGAGTCCTTAAGTGTTTGACTTGTCTTTGTTTTCCCTTTAAAAAAAAAATCTGTACCAGTGTACACAAACGTGTTGTTCCAGTAAGCTACAGAACATGTGTCACGTCAGTACTGTATTATTGACATCCATGTAAATACTTGACATTGTATAAATTTAAGTTTTTATCGTTTAAATAAACAATATTTATTGATTTATATAGCCGTTCTTTATCATGTCACACAACACCACGTTTTTCCAGGAATTAAATCATTTATTGTTAGCAAGTTCAGTAGTGGATGTTTCAGCAGACCAACACTAATAACAGCAGACCTGCAGTTTTGTACAATATGCAGATTAAACCTATGAAATTCATGTTTAATCCATAAGTCAATAAAGTATAACAGGCAGTAATAATGCATAAACACCAGCGTACCCCAGTAAGTAAAAAGCTGGGCAACAAAACGTAAACAGACATGGCAGTTTTAGTTGACACCCTACTTTGACAGCACTAGAAACATGTTAATGGAGGAATATCACTCTTGATTGCTGCACCAAGAAGCTGCGTTCTTGAACATACGCAGCCAGGGTGAAGGTGTGAGAGAAGGTCTGAAGTCCCTTGGGGCCCAGGGCCACTGCCAGCTCAGGGTGCAGCGCTCCGGGTGGGGCATCATGGCCAGGTGTCTGCCATCCCTGGAGCAGAGTCCTGCGATACCCTGCGGTGAGCCGTTAGGGTTGAGAGGGTACTCTTCAGTGGGATGACCCTGGTCGTCAAGGTAACGGAGGGGGGCTAGTCCACCAGAAATAATCAGGTCCAGAGCCCGAGAGCTACGGAATTGCACAAGACCTACGGGAAAGAAAAAGGTTGGGGGAAAAATCAATACAAAACACAGGTGCTGATTACAGAGCATACGGACCCACTGACTTGTTAGGCAACCAGATTAATCTTTGATGTTATGCAAGTTTAAAGAGGGGGGCTCATCATTTCTGTACATTCTGCTAGAAAAATGATAAATAGCTGAGTGATTTATTGACGTGTGCAAAATTTTAATGGAAATATATAAAGCTAGAACATTTTGGCTATGACCACTTTTAGTGCATACTTTTCTATATTCCATACATTCTGACAAGATCCCAACACCATGGCTGAAAAGCAGGGCCGAACCACGACAGAGCCTCCAACGAGTTTTGCAGATGCAACAGATTTTCGGTCCAGCTCTTGTGTAATCTGATATACCTCAGCTTTTTCCCCCCCACTTCCATTTCCCTCCCTCAAAAACGACTTCTCGTCAGCCAACCTTCCACCGAGACCATTTCTGATGAGGGTTTAGTGAACAGCAGATAGATCAGCTGAAGAGAAACATGTCATCTCTCAGGTCTTATGCCAGGTTTTTGCTTTTCTTTCTCCCCTATTTCTTAAGGACATGAATGTCAGCTACTATCCATTTCCTGCAGATAGCTTTTAAGCCTGCCACATCGTCTTTTGTACTTATACAGTTTCTGCAAAGTTTTTAGAGACAGTGCATCATGAGAAGATATGCCAAGTTTGCCAGCTAATAGTTCCTTGATAATCACCTTGTTGATGCAAAATACTATTTTATGCCTGTTGAAAATTGAACAGTCATAACCAGGGATGGGTATCGTTTAGGTTTTATCCGATACCGGTGCCAAATCGGTACTTTTGAAACGGTGCCGGTGCTTAAACGGTGCTCAAACCGGTGCTTAAAGAATGGAAAACACAAACTTTGCCCAAAAACCTCTCATGTTCAGCTGTTTTTTTGTAAAAAGATAACAATGTTAGCCTTTTCTGCCGCTATAGGGGACTCTTGGCTGGAAGCAGTGCTTAATCAATGGAAAAAACACAAACTTTGTCCAAAAACCTCTCATGTTTAACTGTTTTCCACTTTTTCTTTGGTCATTTTAGCCTTTTTGGCCAGGGTGAAGGGAGTACCTGCCATCAAACAAGAAGACAGCCGCATGTAGATATGATGATGTTTGCTAGTTCACCTTACATGCATGGGCAAAGTTTGTGTTTTCCAACGTGGTTAGCCTACTCAATGTAAATTACACACGAACAACATTAAGCTACTCACGCAGAGAAGAACGGCTGCTGCTGCATCATCCTCCGTCATCATTTCTGCTACACTGGCAGGGCTAGGGGCCAGGACTCTCCTCTTCGTGTTTTTGGGGGATGTTGCTAACTCCGGGTCCGATAACAGGTAACCCACCCGCAGTAGATGTGCACGGTGTGAGGTCTCGCAGCAAGCTATCAAATACGGCGCATTTCTCGGCTTTTCAAAAACGCTATGCGTCGCCAGGTGTTTCATCGGATTTGAGGTGTTACCTCCTTTGCACAGTATCACAGTATCAGCTTAAAGCACTTGTTGCAGGCTGCTGAGTTTGCATATTTTGCTGTGAAGTACAGCCAGACTTTTGACCGCTTTGCCTTGGGTGTTTTTAATCTGTAGCTCTGCTCTAAAAGAACGTACGTACCTGGACCCGCCTACTATCCTCGGAAACGTAAAATGATTGGCTAGAATCTAAAGTGTATCACAGAGCAGAAAAAAAAAGCACCGAAATAAAGCACCGAAATGTGCGCTGCTTTTCGGTCTGGTTACTACCGTTTATGTCACCGGTACCCATCCCTAGTCATAACATAGTTGCAAGCTGTTGTAAGAATAAATGCTACATATGGATCATTTTAGCCCCTTGATGTTTGGTAGGCAACATGATGATATCTGATCTGATAACATCCTGGGCTTAGGATGCCCTGTGGCCAAGTTTGTTCATGTTTGGTTGATCAACTCCTGATCTATCATCATCTCTGAATATTTGAACTCCATAGGATCCTCTAGTGCAGGGGTGGGGAACTCCAGGCCTCAAGGGCCGGTGTTCTGCAGGTTTTAAATATCACCCTGGGTCAACACACATGAATCAAATGATTAGTTTATTACCAGGCCTCTGGAGAACTTCAAGACATGTTGAGGATGTAATTTAGCCATATAAATCAGCTGTGCTGGATCAAGGACACCTGCTAAAACCTGCAGGACACTGGCCCTTGAGGCCTAGAGTTCCCCCACCTCTACTCTAGTGTCTTCTAAGACAGCGGTCCCCAACCTTTTTTGCGCCACAGACCGGTTTATGTCCAACAATATTTTCACGGACTGGCCTTTAAGGTGTCGCGGATAAATACAACAAAATAAAAACCAACAAAAGAAGATTTATTCATAAAACATGGGAAAAGACCCAGGGAAACTGAGTTAATGATAAAAACTATAAGAATCCTGAAAACCATGAATTTTACACCCGAGCCTCAACTCTTGTGGCCCGGTACCGGTCCGCGGCCTGGGGTTTGGGGACCGTTGCTTTATTGTGCATATAATAGAAGTCTTATTTACATGTGGGTCATTCATGACACACAGGAAAAGACCCAGGGAAACCAAGTTAATGATAAAAACAATAAAAAATAATGATAAAGGATTTATGGTTTATTATTTATGGTTTTTAGGATAAAAACCCTGAAAACCACAAATTTCACACCTAAGTCTCAACTCTCAGACGGCCAGGGGGTTGGGGACCGCTGTTCTAAGACACCATTTTCCAATAGAACAGAACTGGTTTGTTGGTACCGTTTTTACTGCTGGTGAGTTTAAGTTAAGCGTAAGTTACCACTGTGATTTAGTTCAGTAAGTTGTGACCCACTGTCATGATACTAAGCTCGCTCGTTTAAACCTGACTACAAATCCTGCTTAGCAGTAGACCTCTCATGCTGATCTGACTTTACCTTCTCCATGTGCAACCCAGACTCCCAGCGCTGAGCCCTCCATGCCTCTCAGCCAGATGGATGGAGAGTCCTGGATCCCAACGCTGACAAAACGCGACTCAAACCTGCCTGACTTATTGTGACTCAGCACCACTTCAGATTCTGGTGAGAATAAAAAAGCCAAGAAAAAAAACATCAGGATTAAAAATTATTCTAAACAATTCTGTTTTAATTCAATACTAAGGTATTGTGTTGCTTTATTTCAATCACATTTTCAAGAAACATTTCTTTGCAATGTCCTCTTACCCACTCCTTCCTCGCTCTCTCCCACCCAGCCCAGCAAGGCGAGCAGCTGACAGCCATTACATACGCCCAGACTCACTGTATCCTCACGTTGTCGGAAACGATCAAATTCAGCCTTGGCTTTGGGGTTGTAGGCAACAGTAGCTGCCCAACCTTTATGAAAAAGTAATATTGTTACGCAGGAAAAAAAGAATATGCACCTCACAGTGGTTTACGTCTGAGTGCATGCGAGTCCATTTACCTTTAGCTGATCCCAGGACGTCTGCATAGCTGAAACCACCAACAAAGACAACTGCTTTGAAAGGGTCCAGGGTTACTGAGCCAGTGCACAGGTCCTGCATGGTGACATCCCAAACCTACACACACATTTACATTGCAAAGCTCAATAATGAACACATGCAACACAGTTTAGATTTAGATGAGCAGATATCTGGTTCATAAGGCTGTTGTTAATGACCTCAAAGCCCGCCATGTACAGAGAGACAGACATCTCTCGATCTCCATTACTGCCCTCCTCTCTGACCACAGCAACACGTGCTAAAAGAGCAGAACAGTTTAAAATACAAAAAAAGCATAATAAAAAAAAAATCACAGAGTATTAATAAATGATTATATCTGACTAAACCTGATGAATTTAAATGATTAAGAATTTAGTGGTGCTGTCCAAGCACTAAATAAATATGGTTTCATTCCATATCACTGGTCACTGGGAAATGATGTAAAGTGAAAATATGTAAGATAAAACAGACTTATAAAGAAAAACAACAATGGATGACAATGCATTACCAGTTAGCGGCTAGCTGTTGCATCAGTTCAGTGTTGCTGCTGGCAGTTTGAAACACTAGCGAACTGAATAAAATGTTTCAAAGGTTTGTTGTTCTTGGAGGACTTCCCCAGTGGGGATACACCCTCTGACAGCATGTACAACTGTTATGCTAAATTATAGTTTATAGACAATTAAATAATCAAAGAGTGTTTGACTTCATAACAAAAACAACCATTAATTCCAATTCTGGAGTACAATAAGTCACTGATACCAGGTTGGCTGATGGTGGGCATTTCAGAGGGGTTAAAGGTCAGTTTAAAGTATGGCTGTGTCCTCTTTGATAGCCCCTCCTCCTCCTGTTTAATATACAGCTCATTGGCTTGGAGACGCTCCAGCTGGAAACTCGTGTCCTCCCACATTGCTCTGAGGTCAGGCAGCAGCTCCCTCAGCACCTCCTTTCCATCTACACGGACCCTGATCTGGAAGACAAGTGCAATGAAAGACAGCGGTCATCCTTTACAAAGACACAAGACCCGAGTCCGTGCCAGGTTTAACATCTCACCATGGCTTCTGGTCCAAAGCCACATGTTCTGCCGATATGAAGGCACTGGACGCCTGCATCGCTGTATCTTTGACACACAGTTTCTAAATCTGACTGAGAAACCTCCAGAACCAAACCCAGCTCCTCGCTGAACAACAGCTCCATGACTGCACGTGGCAAAAGATTGTAAAGACACAGTTATTTTGCATTATGTATGTGTAATTAACTGGTAAGGAAAGGGAAATAACACATTCAGGCTCTAACCTCCAGCTCCTTGTGAAGTCAATTCAACATCAATCCCACGGTTTCCTGCAAACGCCATCTCTAGCAAGCAGGTAAGAAGGCCTCCGTCACTGATGTCATGACCTGCACTCAGCAGGCGATCTGAAAGGACACAAAATAGATTACATGTTGTTGTTCTTATTTTTTTTAGGAGCTTTCCAAGCCACTAGGTGGCTCTCTCGTCACAGTGCAGAGCTGTGGCTGTGCAGTAAGAA